AAACTTAGGAGGGCCGCGCCAGGTCGCGATGTCCGTGCGCCCGGCCGGCCCCACGGAGAAATGCGCTTGCTTACCGGCCCCCCACCCTCCCCCCTTTCCCTGGCAGCAGCTTCACTCGTGTGTGGTTCATCTTTCCCCCCTTTCCCCTCCCGCCTTCCGCCTCCCCAGACTGCCCGGGGCCACATGCAAGCTCGCGAGGCGGGTAAGCAAATCAAGGGGCTCATGGAGGCGGATCCGGAGAGAGCCCGGGACTACAAACTGTACTTCTACATATCGCCGTACAAACGGTCGTTGCAGACGTACGAAGGAATCAGGTACGGGAGGGGGATGTAGGGGTAGGGGTTCTGGGCGGCTGGTGGCCTCCTGATGTGTAGTCGGTACCGGCGGTGGGGTGCGGCACTCTCCCCCGCTCCCCCCCCTGGGCCCACACCGGTCTGGTTTGGTCCTGCCGTGTGCTGCTTGGCGTGACTTGGCTTGGCTTAGTAGGCCTCGTCTCCCCTCCCCTCGCCTCTTGATGTACCCACCCCCTACCCGCCCCTTACTACCCCCACCCCCTACCCCCTTTTCCCCCCAAACACACGTATGCATATGTAAATACATACATGCATACACACACGCCATGCAGTTCCCAGTTTCCTACCCACCATCTTCTGGGGGTACAGGAGGAGGTGCAGCTAAGGGAGCAGGTACGGCAGGGAGGGGGATAGAGGAGGGGAGGGGAAAGGGGAGGGGGGGTTGTGGCACCTAGACGAGGAAGCTGGGGAGGAGCTGAACTTGAGTGGTCGTTGTTAGGTAGGTAGTTGGTTAGGTGGTTGTGCTCCAAACCCTACACCCCCACGCACTTCCCCCCTTCCTCTTTTCCCTTAAGAGGAGCTTCACTCGTTCGTGGTTCGTCTTTCCCCCCTCCCTCCCTCCCTCCCCCCGGGGAGGGATTCCAGATGTTTTTTCCCCGGCATTTAGTTTCCTCTTTCCCGCACCCCCTCGCAGCAGCAGGTGAGAGGCGTGTGTTGATGTATTTTGTCCTCACACACACCCAACCCCCCTCGATCTCCCCCCCCCACACACACACCTGCGGCCCTTTCCTTGCATGTACGCCCCCCGCATACATATGTATGTATGTATGTGTGTATATATGTATAGGACTTCGGTAACTTCCAGGACGAGCAGGGCAAGCAACATGAGAAGGCGGAGAGACTTCGGTTCGGCCGGTTCTTCTACCGGTGAGAGGGGGTGAGGGTCTGTCTGTCTGTCTGCTGTCTTTACTCCCCGCTCTCCAGCTCCTGACGTTGTTCACCCTCATTCGCAAAGCCCAGCTTAGATCAGGCCTGCTCATAAAGCTCACAGCAAGCGGTTAGGGTTTAAAACTCTATAAACCCCTACAACTAACTAAAACCCACCAACCGCCAACTTCCATCCACTGTCTCTCCCACCCACCCACACCCGCCCATACATACATACACATACGCTCCCAGTTTCCCCAACGGTGAGAGCGGCGCGGACGTGTACGACCGCATCACCATATTCGAGGACCACATGGTTCGCGACATCAACGCGGGTCGGTTCGCCGACAACACGGCTCTGGTGCTGGTGAGCCACGGCCTGGCACTGAGGATCTTCCTGATGCGCTGGTTCCACTGGACGGTGGACGAGTTCCTGCTGGTGTACAACCCTGGTAATGCCGAGGTAAGGGGGGGGAACGGGGGGGGAGGGGGGGGGGAGGGGGGTTGGTTTGGTTTTTGTGGGGGGGGAGGGTTGGGGGGAAGGGGGGAAGGGGGGGAAGAGTGTGTAGTCAAACTGCTGCTGGGTTTTAGTGGCCAGAGAGATGGTGCGTGTGTGTGTGATGATAGCCTTCAGGAAGTGTTGGTGCGGTTGGGTTAATAATGGTCATGTTGGAGGTGGCGGGGGTTTGGGGAGTGATGTCTGTATGTATGTTGTTACAGGGTGGTGTAGCTTTACCAGCGGTCCCCTTTCCCTTGGAGGCAGTCCCTGCTCTCCCCTGCTAGAGGGGCACCCTAATCCGTCACCCCATCCGACTTCAGAATGTATTCGTTGGGTTCGGCAACTCAACACCAGCATCCAACCAAATCTAGCGGATCAACGGCGCCTCAACTTAGTTCCTGGTCAGCTCGCAAGTTGATATTATCACGTCCTACATCGTCCATATGATGGGGGGCCACTTCCCCTTTCATCACTCCTCAAACACCCGAGGAGCCGGCAGGCGGATTTGAACCCGGATCGGCCGGGAGCAGAAGTCAGGCCTTAACCTCTGCCAGCCGCCTGCCATATACTGTATGTCTGTATGTATGCTGTTACAGGGTGGTGTAGCTTTACCAGCGGTCCCCTTTCCCTTGGAGGCAGTTCCCTGCTCTCCCCTGCGAGAGGGCACCCTAATCCATTCACCCCATCCGACTTCAGAATGTATTCGTTGGGTTCGGCAACTCACCACAAGCATCCAACTAAATCTAGCGGATCAACGGCGCCTCAACTTAGTTCCTGGTCAGCTTGCGCAAGTTGATATAATCATGTCCTACACCGTCCACAAGATGGGGGGCCACCTCCCAATCTAACACCCCTCACACACCGAGGGGTCGGCAGGCGGATTTGATCCCGGATCGGCCGGGAGCAGGAGTCAGGCCGTAACCTCTGCCAGCTACCTGCCTTATGTATGTGTGTATGTGTATGTGTACGTATGTACATGAGTCCCCAACCCCCCTTACCCCTCCTCCTTACCCGTCCCCCCCTCCTTACCCCCCTTTCCCCTCCCCCCCCCCCTTATCCCGGTCAGCCTCTGGTTCTGGAGCGCTGTCCCTCCACGGAGTACTCCTCCTGGCGACACACCAAGTCGCTGTACCGCCTCACTGACGAGTCGATGAGGGCCTTGCGGGGGTGTACGGCAGAGATGTGCTCCACGGACCATCTGCCGCGGAAGTCGCTCAAGGTGTCCACACGGCTGATGTGATGTGTACGACATGATGACGTGCGATGTGTGATATGGGTTTTGGGGTGCGTGTGTGAGTGTGGGAATATTATGCGACCTGAGGTTTCCCCCTTGGGCGGGAGGGTGGCAAGGGTGCAGGGTAAGGGGGGAGAGGAGGGCGGGGGAGCCGCAGGAGGAGAGAAATGGAGGTTGTTGGTGATTGGTGGTGGTTGGTGAGCGGCAGTTGCCTGTCTTGGACGTGCCGTACAAGTACGTCGTTACGAGTGACAGCTCGGTATGGTGGAAGTGAGTCGGTTTGCGGGCGGATGTGAGTGCATATGTATGTATGTGCGTATATATGGGGGTGGAACGATCTGTATTTATTGACGCTTACGGATGTATGTTATGTATTGCATATCACATTATTATGCATACCAATAAAAGCCCCAACAAGGCCGCCGTCGAAAGTCGTGGTTCATGTCGCATGCGTTCAACCTCCACTTACCCTCACGATCTGGCAAAGTGGGAGGAATGTATGCATGTATGTATGTATTGTGTGTGATCAATGAAATGCCCACCTGCCGGGGTTTAGGCGTATTAGTAAGTGTAGGCGGCAGGAGGTGACCGGAGTGCCGATCGTCATCATCATTATCATCATCATTGTTATTGTTTTCATCATCATCATGGTGGTGGTGGTGGTGGTGAGCGGTGAAGAGTTGGTCCGGTGGGCCCCCGTCGATGGAGACGGGTGGGGAGGGGGGGGGCGAGGGGGAGGGGGGCGAGCTGCACTGCGTGTGAGGAGGTGGCGACGGAGTATTGCCGTACGCCTGTGTTGAGACCCCCATCGTACCGTCATATCAACCATATATATCTAAATCGCTTTCAAGCGGAAAGCCGCACAGTTTCTCTGTTTCGATCAATCCGTCTGTATCATTATAGACATCATCGTCTTCGATCTCCCTTCTCGTGCATGTGTGTGCGTCGTATATGTATGTATGTATCTATGTATGTACATACGTATGTATGTACATACGTATGTATGTATGTGTTCGAGCATACCTGGCTTGAGTGTGCAAAACGAGAGTGGCCGGGGCGAGAGCGGGGGAGAGCGCGGGACGAGCTCCACTGTGTGTGTGAGTGTGTGTATTTGTTTGTTTGTGAGTGTGTGTGCCGCAGGCGCCACGTACTAGCACGGGAATTACATCACCACCGTCGTCGTCATAAAATAAAAGTAACACGAATACTATAAGGGTGGTAAGGGTGGTAGTGGGGGTGAGCAGCGTGCGCGTCGGAGGTGGTGGTTTTAAAGACGCCCGGGCCCTGTAACCGTTACATGTTGAAAAACGTGCTGGCTAAAACACACCCACACCCACACCCACCCACCCACACCCCGACACACAATAACATGGTGCCAGTGGTACTTGCAAAAACATTGGTCGATGTCGTGGTGGTGGTTCATGTCTCGTTTACCGTACCGTTGAGTACGGCCCCGAAGGACGTATCCGCATATGGCGTACGACAGCTTTCAGTACAGCTGAAATTGTGTAAAGGTGTGAAATTATAAAGCGATGGGGGAGGGTTCTGAAGAAACGCCTTTTTGAATTTGTGTACGGATGGGGGGCGGTGACGGCGGCCCTGGACACCGAGGAGGGGGGCGGACGCTGTTGCTCGGGACGTCGGAGCCCCAAAACGGGGCCTGTAATGCACTTCACTGCTGTACTACTGCTACTGCTACTGCTACTGCTGCAGCTGGTAATACTGGTAACCTATATATCGGCTCCCGTACATAGCCACAAGCACCCACCTCACCCTTCGCAAAGTGACAGCAAGCGCATAAGTGGCCCCAGTCCCCACCCAACATAATACCCACATACATACCCACATACGTACATACATACACGTGTGGACGATGATCCAAAGAAAGGGTTTAAGGAAAATAGGGACGCAGAAGGCTGCGGAGGAGGAGGGCAGAGCACACACATACATATGTATATGATGGTTACGTCCATGTACACGTCCACTCCTCCTCTTAACGTACGGCACCAGCTGCAGGGGGCCGCACCAGCACCTGGCATGCGCCATAAAGGTGATGCACCGACATGGCACACACGGCCCCATGATGCAACCCCCACCCCCCCGTGGCAACCGACACTCTCTCCTTCACAAGTAGAAAAGTTTTAGAGGGTTTCAAAAACGGTTGGTAAAGGGGGCCGCCTCCTCCTGGAGCAGGGGAGACATACTGGTAGGTGCCATCAGGGGGCCACCTCGGGAGACGCCGCCGCGTTGTTGGATGGACAGGTGGACAGGTACGGAGATAGACCGGGCCTCCCGACCCGACCCGACCCGACCCGACCCACCCGCGGACGACGTAAGGGCTCCAGGGGGGAAAGGAGGAAGGGGTGAACGGGGTTCTTCCCTCAGTACACATATACACACACACACACACACACACCAGCAGGCGCCGTCCGGTCGCCCCTTTCGCCCATGCACCCCCCGCTTCCTCTCCTCCCCCTCCCTCCTCCCCCGGCAGGTGCGCAGCTCATTTCCCCCAACCCCTCAATACACATACACAAACACACGCACCCAGTGAGGTGCGGAAGCCCTAGGAGCGGCTTAGCGCCTGGATCGATGGATCCGAAACTCCGGCTTCGCCAAATATAAAAAAATGTTTTGTTTCCTCTCCCGGGCCGTGGCACGCCCCCCACAACTACCCCTGCCGCTCGCGCGCCATTGTGGCGTTATTCATGAAAACGCATTCATGTATATGTATGTATGTATGTATGCGAGTAATTTCATAAACTAAGCTGCGAACAGGAACTGGCGAGGATGGCAGACCCGTAAGTATGTATATATGTATATGTATGTATGCATGCATCATGTCGTCACAGTGAATGCTTTGGCATCATACGTCGGTACCAAGCTCAATGCATCATATGGTTATGCAGTTGAGAGAGAGGGAGGGGGAGGGGAGGGGGAGGGGGAGGGGGAAGGGGGGAACGGGATATCTGATTATCATCGACGGCATGCCAAACGCACGCACGGCGATGTGCTGCCCGCCGCATCCTCCCGCCGCCGCCGTCGCACGAAACCCCCTCCCCCCCAATTCCCCCTTTCTCCCCCCCCCGGGTCACTTCCTCGGACCCAACCCCCTCATCAACCGCCTCTACCTCAGCTGTCTGCCTTCGCAACGCGTGCTCTCCAACGAACTTAACGGCCGCCCAACAACCTCCCCAACCTCTCCAACTGCTCCAACGGTAAACTACGAAAAATCACAGAATGCAGACAACCAAATAGACAGGCATACATATAAACAGACATATAAGCTAAGAGGTCGAACACCCAAGGCTCCCCAGATACCTCCAACCCCCCCCCCACACACATATGTGCTTTGATTTTTTAAACAATCAATCCCTTCAATGCCACCGACACCGTAATGCACAACACAAACCAACAACTCAAATCCGGTCAAGACTCCTCAAACGTGGGCACCACCAACGTCACCATGTTAGACCCCAGCTGTACGGCACCGGCAGCGGACAACCTTTCCGTACGAAACGAGTCCAAGAAGTGGCTGCTGCTGACGCCGCCGCCGCCCCGCTGCGAGTTCGTTGAAAACCGTTGGAACGCTCGCACCAAACGAACTCTCCCCCTCCCCCCCGCCCCCGCCCTCTCCGGGATCCACCTCCACCTCCATCTCTACCCCCTTGTCGCTGTCGCCCACTTCCCGCCCACCGTCTACACTCATTCGGTGGTCGGGCGGGGTGCGATCAGATAGGAAGTACGGCTCAGAGCCAGGAGGGCCGAAACCGCCATAGGGGACATCCGGGACCCGCAGCCGCCGCCGCCGCCGCCGGGGCTCTCCGTCACCGCCAACGTCGTCGCCGACGGCGGCGGCGGCGGCGGCGGCGGCTCCGTCAGGGGAGTCACCATCTGGTGTGGCGTCATCAGGTCGCGGCACGGCTGCGTCGGCGGTGGTGTACTTATCGTTGTCGGCGTCATCCAGGTAGTAGTACGGCGACGAGCCGTCGCTGGCGTACGGAGTGTAGTTGGCGTGCGCGCCACCGAACGGCCGTGACCCATGGGTCCGCGAGGTCCTCGGCGCGCTCGAATACGGCAGGTGTCCTGCTCCTCCTTCTGTTCCACCTCCCCCTCCGTCAAAACCCACACTGACATCCAGGAAGGGTGCCGTACCCGCCCGGCTGTTTGGCGGGAAATCAGGGAAACAACAGGGGCCAGCGTGAAACTGATGTCAACACCAGTACGACATCAAAGCGCCATCACCAACAACGCCAAGAACACTAACACAGAAGTGTTGTAGAGGGGACGGGAGGGACCGTATCTTCCTTACCTCTGGCTGCTGCCGCCACCCCACAGCGCGGGCCCCACCCGGGCGCCGCGGCTGGCACTGCTCGAGCCCACGGCTGCTCGGGAGGACATAAGCGAGCCCCCGCTCATGCCCGCCGCCGCCAAGTCCACCGCTGCCGCGGCGCGAGTGTGCAAAACAGACCGCCGCCGAGAACGCCAAGGCGGCGGCGCCGCCGTGTCGCCAAGCAGCAGTACTCCTCCCGCCACCCCCGCCGTCGGGTGTCCCGAAAGGGACCGCGGGGCCCTTTGACGCGGTGGCGGCGCCGCCGCCTCGGCCATGAGCGACTGCGGTGGCGGCGAATGGAGGTAGACGCCGGATGATGGCGGATGATGGTTGTGATGGTGGTTGCCGCCACCGCCGCCGCCGCCGCCAAGCGCCATCAGCGCCGACGCCATGGCGGCAAAGCTCTCTTTCAGGCCCAGAGTTCCAGACGTCCCCACAGCGCCCGTCAGAGCCGACTTCAGACCCGAAGATGAATCCCCGTTACCAGCGCGGCCGCCCACGCCAGCGGCGACGACGACGGGTCCGGAGTTGCCGCCGGGCCCGCTGCGGACGCCCGGGCCGCTGCTGCCGCCGCCAACACGCGCCGCCGGCGCCACGAAGTCACGCAGGACTACTGCGTTCGGGCCGCTGTGCTGTACAACCCGCAACGACAAATGGGTCGGTGCGCCGCCGCTGCTGATACCATCGCTTCGTGGCGGGTGCGTTGCGTCGCGGTCTGAGACGACTTCGCTGCTGCTGGCGGCAGCGGCGGCGCACCGACCCATTTGTCGTTGCGGGTTGTACAGCACAGCGGCCCGAACGGGCGAGGGCTGCTTGGCGCTACGGCCCGGTCTGCTTCCCCCCTTGGGGATAGGACGCTAAAGGGAGTAATGACGTAGCCGGCGTCGGCTGTGTTTAGGTAGCTGACGGCGCCGGTGCCGTACGGGAAACTGACGGGCGACGCCAGCTGGGAACCACCAGGGATATCGTCCAGGGAGGCGGCAATGACCACGCTGCGAGAAGTAACATCGCTGTGGACGGCTGCCGCCTCCGCCGCCATTGCCACGGCGGCGGCGGCGGCGGCGGCGGTGACGCGGTCGCCGTCATCCGAGTCCATAGCTGCGGTGGTGGGCAGGTTGGCAACCCCGTCGTCGTCGTCATCTCTGACGGCGCCGCCGTTCCCCCAATCCATCAGGGTCGTTGCTGCAAACGGCCTCGACGGAGAGCCGTCATGGTACGGCGCAGCAGCGTCCGAGCAGAGGGCTGCAGTGCCGGCCGCGGCAATGTGAGGCCGAGTTCCCCGTCCGTAATCGTCCCCGGCGGCCGCAGCAGCGGCAGCGGCAGCTGCAGCGGCCGCCGGCGGCGTCAGCGGCACCGACGCTGCACTGCTCCGAAGACCCTTACCATGCGGCTGTAGCAACGTCAGGTGGGAGGTGCGAAGTCGCGGCGTGTCGTTGTGGTCAAAGCCCGTGCTAAGAGTCTGTGAGTCCGAAAGAAGCGTTTGCCGTGGCCCGGTGTAACTGTACGGCTGCTGCGGTTGACGCTGTGTCGTCACAGACAGCCGAGACGGCAGCGGTAACGACAGCTGCGGTGCCGCTGCTGCCGCCGCCGCCGCCGCCGGCGACGGCGAAGGCAGCAGGTTCGCCAGCTCCGCATCCCGCATCCGTTGCCGCCGGGATTCCCGGGACTCACGGGCCGGCGGCATCCCCCCCCCTGAGGACGACGCACCGCTGCCGCCCGCCAGCGTCAGCTCTGTCGGAACCGCCAGGCACGGCGGCGGCGGTACGAGCAGCGCCTCCGGCGCTGCTCCGCCGGCGGCGGCGGCGACTTCGCCGCTTCGCGGCGGCGGCGGCGGCGGCGACGTTGCCAGTTCCGTTGCCCTGAGTTTGCAGTGGAAAACCTCAATGGGCTCCGAAACCCCTCGCAGAACGTGTCGGCCCAGGCTGACGGCGTTGATGCGAGTGGAGACATCCACTGAGGTGCTGGCGGCGGCGCAGCGCCAGGCGGCGGCGCTGCACAGGATCTGTGAGGCGCTGGCGAGAGAACCTGAGTGGGCGGGGGGGTGGGCATCATGCATGGGCGCGATGACGGCTGGCCAGGAGGGTGGAAGAGGACGGGAAATACACACACATACATACACACATACACATGGACGGTGCGCTCGCGAGTGTGTGCGCGCATAGACATGGTGCGTTAAAGCACCCTTCAACCCCTTACGCATCGCAATCCCGAATGAGACACACGCACAGACATACATACGTGTGTATACATGCATACATGTGTACGCACGTACATACACACGTGCATACACACGCAAGCGAGCAAACGCGCCCTTCCAGAGCCCGCGCAGCCCTTTCAGCACTCACCAATCCTAGCCGCGCGGTTCATCGCCTTGCCGCGGTACACGACGGCGGAGCTGGCGGGCGAGAGGCTCTCATTCAGGCGGCCTACATCAATGCCCACTCGCATCCGCAGACCGCGCATCAACACCTTGCGCACCATGCCCGGCGGCACGTCGCCGTCGTCGTTGTCGTACATTTCCGCCACGGCGGCGCCGATGCCCATGCCCGAACCCAGACCACCGACGCCGCCGACGCCAGCGGCGGCCGCAGCGCCGGCGGCATCAGTTGATACAGGGGCGGCGGGGGCGGCGGCGGCGGCGGCGGCGGCGGCGGTGGTGGCGGTGGTGGCGGTGGCGGCGGCGGCATCGTGGAGATCTTGCGTGGAGAGCAGCTGCGTCGGCAGCGGCGAGGGGGTGCCGGCGGGGGCCCCCGCGGGGTGCGTGTGATCGCCCACCAGCAGCCCCGTGGCGGGAACCAGTACGGAAACCTCCTCCGCCAGCTCATGCTCCTGCCGTACATCAACAAGATCGAAAGCAACGACGAAAAGCAGGTCAGATGGTCTACGACGGATCCAGATCACCGCTCTCCGCGACACACAAGAAAATGAAATGTCGCAAAGTGGGCCCCCCCGGGCCCCCCCGGGCAGCAGCAACGGCAACGATCCATCGCCTCTCATTCCCTTCCCTCCTCCCCCCTTTCCCCCCCCCCCGCACCGCCACTCACCAGAAGCAGGGGGTCCCACTGCTCATGTACGAGCGCCTGCTGGGTTGTCAGTGCCCACATCAGCGCCTGCGCCGGGTCCCTGAAGGCCGCCAGCACCAGCCCCTCCTGGCCCTCGGACACGTACCCGCCGTGGTCCTTACACCGGCAGGAGGCGACCTGGAGTGCCGGCAAGGGGGAGGGGGAGGGGGGGGCGGAAGGGGGGGGGAAGGGGGAGGGGAAGGGGAGGGGGGGGAGGAATTGGGGGTCTTGAACGGATGCCCGTGAGCTTGACGTGTGTGTGTGTGTGTGTGTAAGCCGTACACCTAAAACGTAAAGTGTAACCAGGTCAGAACCCAAAAGCCCAATATGAGCCTTACATGAACATGTAGATCTATTTTAATTCTGGATCGCGTACACAGGTTTGTTTCACCTAGAATTCAACTTGATTAGCCTGGGTCCGTCCATAATGAAGAGGGGCGAATGGCTATAACCACCTTTTTGTATTTATACAGCCCTAATAACCGACTTTGTGAAAGGAGGCCCGGAGTGTCAGGACAGGAGGCACATGAACAAATAGTCAACCAACCAACCAACCAACCAACCAAACATACAAGCAAACAAACAAACAAACATACATACACATCAACCTCCCGTACCCGGTGGAACAGCTCCACTGCCTCCAGGGAAACCTCGCTGTTCCAGCTCATCAAGCTCTGTACGGCATGTACGTACATGAAGGCGATGGCCAGAGTCCCCACCGGGGCGGACAGACAGCCGCTGATGAGACAGGCGGGGGTGCGGAGGGGGGGCAGCAGGGCCAACCGTACGGCAAGGTCGTAACCCACCACCTGGATGGGGATAAAGGGGGGAGGGGAATGAGTGGGGGAAGAGAGGAGGGGGGAGAAGGGGGAAAAGGAAGGAAGGGCGTTCCGATGTACGACATACAACCTGGATGAAGGGCCTCATTGCTGGATTCCGTTCAGGTCCGTTTGGGAGGTCATCATTGGTTCCAACCAACCAACCAACACAAACGGAACATGCCCTCCTCACTCATGTTCAAGAAGCTGTTTCCACCCGACTGACTGACTGACTGACTGACTGACTTGCCGACGCGAACAAGATGCAAAACACACACAGGCGCATACACACACACGCACACACACACGCACGCACACGCACACACGCACACACACACACACACACACACACACACACGCACACACACGCACACACACACACACACGCACACACACGCACACACACGCACACACGCACACACACACACACACACACACACACACACACACACACGCACACACACGCACACACACGCACACACACACACACGCACACACACGCACACACACACACACACGCACACACACGCACACACACACACACACACACACACGCACACACACACACACACACGCACACACACGCACACACACACACACACGCATTCACACAAGCCCTATCAACATCCCTACACGCACCTGCCCTCCCAACCCCAACTTGGCCCCCTCCGCTACTCTTCTCCCCCCCCTTACCCCCTCTTACCCCCTCTCCCCCCCCACACACACACCTGGTATAGCTGATACTCGCACTCCCCCCCCTCCTCCTCCCCGCCGCCACTGAACGTGTAGTACTCGCCGCCGAGGTGGTGGTGGCCCATCTGCAGTACCCAGCCGCGATGCAGTACAGATCGCGCGGGAATCTGTCGGTACGTCTCGTCCGTGAGGCAGATCTGGCCACCGTTGGCGGCGTCGGAAGTGCGCTTGGCGATGGTCAGGAAGGAGCCTGCGTGCGTGTGCGTGTATGTGCGTGTGCGTGTGTGTTTTGGGTTTTGGGTTTTCGGTCTTGGAAGGGGGGATGTGTGGTTGCATGCGCAGTCGGGGGTAGAGGGGAAAATGGTGACGAAGATGGTGGGGGAGGGGGACAGGCAAAACCAATCACCTCCTCCTCCTCCTCCTCCTCCTTTTCCGGCTCCTGCGCTCATATTTACATACATACACATGCACACACACGTGCACACGTCTGTTAATTGCATACATGCACACATAGACTCCCTTCCCCTTGCTTCAACGCCCCGTGCCCCGCAGCATCTCGACCGCCCCGTCGTACTGCCGTACGACGTTAGTCGTACCTCCGTACTGCGTCCTTCCGGATGCTTTGTTGATGCAAATTGCGTGTGGGTCTTCCAGTCCCGAGTGCAGCCCCATCCGCACCCGCAACCCCCGGTGTACCAGGAAGCGCGGCTGGTCGTTTGGTCGGGCGCGTCTGAAGGGGGGGAGGTAGGTGAAGGGGGGGTGCGAGGGGGGGGTGCGAGGGGGGGAGGCAGGTGAAGGGGGTTACGGCTATGGGAGTGCCTCATTTAAGCTCCTCCATCGGCCAGAGCAATTTGTCATGTGTTTTATAACTCCCCCTATCCCCCCCCCGCACAACCCGCTATGTCCCTTCATTCAGGAGCACCCCTCAGCATAGTCTCGCCCCCCCCGCACACACAGACGCACAGACGCACACACAGACGCACAGACGCACACAGCGACAGAGGCCCCTCGCGCCCCGCACCCGTCCACAGAGAGAGCTCTAAGGCGGTCTTTCCGTTGGGGCTGGTCAGTATCAGCCCCCCTGTGGCCGGTGTCGTCAGGCCCCGTCAGGTACCTGTAACACGTACATACCCCTCCACACACCCCTCCACACACACACCCCTTCACACACACACACACGCACCTGAACATGTTCATGAGCAGCCTGCCCAGCACGTCGTTCCTGAGCCCTGTCCCGGCTGGCCCCAGGACCGCGGTCTCGTGCGAGGGGATCTGGGTGGCCAGTGCGGCCGCCAGCTCCTCCGGGGGCAGACCCAGCTGGCCCAGGGCCGCCAGGCGAGTGCGGTGGTGGGAGGAGGTGCGGGAGTGGAGCGTGGATAGGTCGGCACCGGTGGCGCTGCCCCTGAAGGGGGGGCGGCGGCGTGTGCGGCGGAGGGGGGGGGGCGGGAGGGGGAGGCGGGGGGGGGTGAAAGGGAAGCAAGCAGTAAAGGTAAGAACGGGAAGGCCGGGGGGGGGAGGTTGGGATAGGGTTGTCGTATACCCGAAATTCGACGCAGCGTCGTGGTTGGGTTGGGGCAGCTGGGCTGGGGTTTTGGGGTTTTCAGAGCGACGATCAGAGTTCACCAGGGCGTCTGTACGGCCCTTAGTGGAACCCTTAACCCCACCTGAAACGGGGTATCATGTCCCGCCAGCTGGGGGCGAAGATGGCGCTGCCGGGAGCAGAGGGCGCGGTGGCGGCGGCGCCGGCGGCGGCTT